GATCATCTGTTTGCCATCTTGACTGGAAAATACGATTTTCATCGTCAATATTTAATTGATTTTTGCTAATGTTAGTGAATGTTCACATTAGACTGCACATCCTACTACGCTGTAATTAACAGCAGCTGGAAACTTGCGACCTCTCCTGGTTGGAGTTAGTATTAACATCATAAACTGAGACCAATCTTTCCGTGACTTACTTTTCAGATGTTTTAAAATTGATCATCCGAGAGTTAAATATGATCCCGCGGGCCGCACTAAAAGACATTGTGGGCCGCCAGTTGCCCATCCCTGATGTAGACACTCAAACACAGACACGAACACTCACTCTGACAGACAGGGGCGTGTTTACCATTTTGGGGGCCCTAAGCAAAGTGAGGACCTGGGGCCCCCCGCACCCCAACATTGCCTAAGATTTTCCTTTGAATTGCACAACAGTAATATTGAGTATATAGAATTAAGTGAGACATATAAAAACTGGATTTATTTTACTTTGAACTGCATAACAGCACAAAAAATTGTCTACAGTTTGGTATAACACATAAAAATTCTTGTTAAGTGTCCAAAAAAAAATCAAAAGTGCCCACTGTCTTATTCAAAATGATACAGAATCCTTTTAGCGCATTTGAGAACATCAATTTACATTTTGGGACTCTGCAGAACTTTACTTACGCGATTAATCTGATAAAATGCATTGTACCAGATCACAACACAAAGAACAAACCGCCAGGATGTCAGTTCCTTAGACAGATTCTGTGCCACAGACAGTGTCTCTTCATCCTTTTCTGCTGCATGTTCACCAAGTGCATTTAAGGCCTCTACCATTTCAGGCAACTGGTGATATAGTATTTTCCCACTGTCAATGCGACATTCCCATCTTGTTGTTGACAGATTTTTGACAGTGAGCTGCACATGGCTTTGCAGGATTGACCAGCGTTGTACTGATGAGCTGAAGATGTTATACAGACGCTGAAGAATGCCAAAAAATGTCACAGAAAGCACAGATGACTTGGCAGCATCTGCCACAACCAAGTTCAGTGAATGACTGCTGCAGGGAACACACAGAGCTTTGCTGTTGATCTCGAGCAGTCTTTTCTGGACTCCCTGCTTGTGTCCTATCATATTACTCCCATTATCGTAGGACTGACCACGACGATCTGAAATATTCAATCTGAAACTGTTAAGATGCTCAATCAAACAGGCCTTTCCCTGTGGTAACATTCACATTGACAAATCCAACAAAGTGACTCACAATTCACAATGCGAAGCACCAAGGATAGCTGTTCATTGTGGCTAATATCTGACGTGCAGTCCAGTGGCACATAAAA